GCGATCCAGGCTGGCTGGATCAGGCAGACGCGCCCTCCAATCAGGCACTGTAGAGGGCCGCTCGCAGTGGCCTCGGAGGAGCGAGCGGCCGCCCGATGACAGCTGGGTGAATGTGGCAGAGAGAGGGAGCCAGGGGCTTCGTTTAGCGGGGGTCGTGACGACGCCCCCCCTCAGTCCTACGCCCAGGGCAAGTGCCCCCCCGGTTGTTACGCCACTGCCCCTATGCCCTGTGTGGTTAAATCTTTCTCCACCAATTTTAGGTGGTGGCCTCTAGTCTTTGTTAGGGAGTTTACAGTAAAAAGTTTATTGCTGATGTTGCCATCTCCACTAAACATTACCCTCCCTGGTTGTGAGCGCTATGTCCCATTCGTATGCTACCATGTTGGAGTCAGGAAAACAGAAATTTGTATACTTGACTATCAGTAATTTTCCTTTCCTGACACCAATACATGGCAGCATAGGGGACCCTCCCATGGCTTTCACATTGAGTACTGTTATGAGAATGGCTGCCCTGGGAGGCGTGCTTTAATTTATAGTAGAACTGGTCATGGGATTGGCTGCGGGGCGGAGACATACCCATTCATATGCTGCCATGTATTGGCGTCAGGAAAGGAAAATTACAGATAGGCAAGTATACAATTTTTCGTTATTTATACATACATACATACATATATATATATATATATATGCTTAATTTAAATTCTAAGCGATGCACAAATATTTATGCATTTATTTAGAAAAAAATAGGAAGCATGGCTAATAAAAACTTACCCGGTGCTCATTCATACTGCCTAGAATAGCTTTACGAATAGATTCCGCGTAACTGTGTAACCTGCCAATACAGAGTTGAAAAGACAAACTGATTAGAGTGAGAACACAGTTACCTACTGAAAGGACAAGGTGATGTTATAGCTAGCAAGAGAAGTTCCAGCCAAAGTTATTAAAGTTCATACTTGAGATGGTCCAACATCATGCAACTGGCTAAAAGCATTGCTGTAGGGTTTGCAATGTTCTTGTTGGCAATGCTCTTTCCTGTGTTTCTGGTAGCCTGCAAGAAAAAAAGGAGATAAAAGAAAAACCTGGATTATCTAATTTGACCTCACCGAGGTGCCTATCAAATTCACTTGCCACACCAGTTAAATAACTACAAAGCTGCATATTATCTTTTTTTTTTTTGTTTAATATATTTTTATTTCCATATACATGAATATAAACACACATACATACATTCTGGGCACAGACATATATCAAAGACTTCATATCCAAGGCTAAGTAATTCAGAAACTTAACTAACAATCTCTAACTATTTGGAAGAGGCTTCAACCTTACTTTATTACATCATAGACATGGCAATTCCCTTTATTTTACGGAACCTCATATTGTCTAGTTCTACTGTTTTACCCATTTCTCCCATACCATCTAAATCTCTCCTCAGTTGTGGGGGGGAGGGAAGTCCTGGTATTAAAGGGGTCCATATGACCCTTTCTTTATTAACTAATCTCCCATATGTGCAATTCTATAAAATAATTGTGCTTTAAAAAATTTTTTTTTTATGTAATCCTATTCTCCCCTGGGTGTGTATTCCTTTATAATATAAACCCCTTAATTTCTTTCCCTCCCTACCCTAACATATCTAATCATATGAATATATTCCCTATTTCTATGTGAACCCCTTGGGTATATTTATAAACCTGTGAATAACCCACTATATTTCCCCCACTTGTGATGGGAACTATAGTACCCTTTAACCTTATTTCTAAGATGCTATCATCCCACTGTGGGATCTAATTATTTGTGTTCTTCTATGTGATATTTTAACCCATTTAATATAACCTACATTTTTATTTATTATGTTTGTGGGATTGTGGAAATCCCTCCTAACCCATATCACTTCTAAGTTAATGTATTTAATCACCCTGCATATTATCTTTAACCCCTTAAGATCTAGGTTTTTTGTTTGTTTGTTTTTGGACACATTATAATCCATATTTTAGGCCTAAAAATTACTTCAAACACCGAAACATTTTATATTTTCTGAAAGCCAAGACCCTGTAGAATAAAAGGGTGGCAGTTGCAAGATATTAGAGCAACTCATTATCAAAAATGCACTTAAGTTTAATTTAGTTCCCCAAAGCACAATGTAATACCCATTTTTTTGTCAACTATAAAGATTAGGTTACGCCGAGTAAAAAGATACCCAACATGCCCAGGTTAAAAATTATGTACGTCCGTGAAGCTGTGACAAAATTCAGTACCCCAAAACGATATTGGCCCTAGAATTAGTGCTCTCACGTGTAGTGTGTAGGTCACATGTTTACGTAAATTTCTTTTAATTTAAAATTGTATTTAATATTTTTTTAAACATTTTTTTTTACTTTAATTGCCATTACAGGGGGTGATAGTATATTGGTGGTGATAGGTCCTATTTAAGGTGATACTGGGGGACCCCTAATGTCACCTTTCCACATTAAATAAGCTATTGGAGTGCAGATCGCTCTTCAACAGCTTATTGCTCGGCTTCAGGATGTAATGTGCGTTGCTCCCGATCCAATAGAATGGGGAGGAGGACGGTGAATGGATGTTCGCTGCTCTCCTCCCCAGCTTCCCACCGGCACCCGATATGGAGGAGCAGCGGAGCCCGGGAAACATTACCAGCCCGTAGAAGCGATCTGGTGGCAGCTAGTGATGGGAAGAACACACCTGAGTTTGGTTCGAATTCAAACTTTAGAGCATAGAAAAAGTTTGAACCCGAACTCAATGAAAGTCTATGGGACCAGAACTCTGAAAATCAAATGTCCCCTTTTTGAAGGCTTATATGCAAGCTATTCTCCATTAAAAGGGTATATGGATTCAGGCACTGCCCTGGGGTACATGAATCAATAAAAAAAAAAAACATTAAAAAAATACTGTTTTTAAAAGAGCAGCGATTTTAACATTGCCTAAAGTGAAACAAAAAAAATTTAAACAAAAGAAAATTTGTTTAAATATGGTGCCTGGGGGGTCACCTTAAACTGCCTGTAAAGTGGTGCATCTGTATGATGTATATTACCTGCTGCAGCAAAAAGTAACATTTATAAAAGAAAAAAAAGTGTGCGGTTCCCCCACCCAAACAGTACCAGACCCTTTAGGACCCCATTTAAAAAGAAACAAAAAAAAGCACATGTGGTTCCCCTCAGTCATACCATACCCATTGACTAAAGGGTTAAAATAAATTTAAATAAAAAGTGCAGAAAAAAAATCCTTTGAAAGAAAAAAAAACACAACAAAAGCTTTTGACAGGTCCTTTATTGTTAAAAGAACAAAAATGGATCCACTGATGTCAATCACGACATCCAGCATTGTCGACGACGACTCGACGAAATAAAAACCAAGAAAAAAGAAATAGATATATATTTTTTTTTCAAACGACTCTCGCTGAGCCGTCAGCTCCCGACGAACTCCTGCCACAGAATGGCATTCTGACAGATGCCGCCAAAATATAAACAATTGGGCAGAGCTAGCAGTGAAATTTACGCTAGCTCCGCCCAAAGGTTTACATTTGTCTAGCACCTGACAGGTGAGCCATGATTGGGTAAAGTCATCATTACTTTGCCCAGTCATGGCTCTCAGAGTGCACTGTGTCATGATTGGACACAGTCTTGCAGTCCCGGAGTCTGTCTAAAAACCCCTTAAGGATCCATGATGGAATAATCCCGTCATGGGTCCTCAAGGGAGTAAAAGGCGGCAGCTCACATCACTATTAGCAATTAACAATTGCTCTTAGAAATTACCCATTTGTATTACAACCGGACAGCTGCTAGCACATAGGGCAGCTCATCAGTACATAGTGTTCTTGCCTTGCAGCTGTGGGCCCAAAGTTAAAATCTCACCAGGCACATTATCTGCAAGAATCTTATATGTACTTTGAAAGTTTCTTCTGGGTGCTTTCCTTTTCTCTTGCAATCTATAAATCTATTGGTTAATTAGTAGGGATGCACCAATACCATTTTTTCAAGACCAAGTACAACCGCTGTGACCCTGCCACTGACTCAAAGCTGTAAAGGGACTACAAATAGCAATATAGCAAACAGCAATAT